CTTGAGCTTTTGATCAGGCTCAGATGAAGTTGATGGACGTGAAGATTTTCCAGTCTTCAAACTCTCCACGAGTTTAAGGATTGATGCAGACAAGTTTTCAACTTGTTGCTCAAGTTTAGTGATGCGATCGCCATCACTAGATGTATCCTGTTTGTTTTCTCCAGTCATATTGTCTCTCTTGGACCTTGGCTTTCGGTGTACGAGCAAAGGACCTAAAAGTTCTTCTCCAGAAGCTTTGCGTTGGTTGCGAGTTGAGACCATAAACCACCGTCACCCTCTCGGATCTGGTGCTCTGATACCACTTGATCCAAAACTTCTAGTCGATAGAACTATGAATTCCTAGTTTATAGGAATAAGGGAACGAGAGGAATTTTAAGACAATTTAGAGAAACAAAAAAGGAAGAAGCTAAGGAACTGCTTTGAGTTCTGCCTGTTTTAATTCATTCAACTACAATGGTTTATATACAAGCCTGAATGTCTAGAATAGAAAACTAAAAATAATAAATGAATTTAAACCACAAATGTTAAATGGTTTAAATTCTTTAGGTAATTCAAACCATTAATTTTTAAATGGTTCAGAACCATTTCTTCTTAAACCATTCGAGTCGAATGGTTGATAAATTATTTAATTTAAATAATATTTATTATTTAATTATCTTGAAAAGATCCACCTGGATCAGTTGTGTACGCAAATTTCAAATAAATTTAAGATACGTGCAATCAGGAGTAGAGCTGAAGTCAAGTCCGAAGAGGCCTTAGCCTCCCACTCCTTTTATAACTCTTTTTAACATTTGAAACAAAGTATAATATTAAATAAAAAAATTCACAACTAAGCTAGTCATAAGTTTTAAATTGTTACATGAGGCGGCATAAATACATAAATCAAGACATAAAATTATAGGTAAATTATAGGTAAGATGGAAAATAAATAAAAGTAGGTGAGAGGGCCGTCCTAATATATATTATTAGCTAAGAAAATTGAATAAATGGGACAGTCCAGGTCATTGTCAATATAAAACAAAGCAAGCCGAGCCAACAATGGAGGGCTGGGCTGTCATATTTTGACTGAGAAAACTATATACACATATAGATATATGGTTGCCTTCCTTTTCATTATCATTATATTTGACTGCTCGTGCAGATTTGGGGAGAGGACTTGCTGAGTGAGACACACATGCAGTATCAAATGAAGCCAAGTTTGTTGAGCACTTAATTAATAGCCACCCAAGCAGACTACGGCCCACTCAAATACTGTTTGGCTCTCACCAACTTCTAGTACGTTTTTTCCTTTAGATGCGATATTTTAAATTGCTCTATGCTATATAGAGAGAAATTCAAACTTGGATATCGGAGGATAGACGTCGTTTATGTATTTTTTACATTGACAATTATGATATATAAAATATTTCACATTAATAATATTTCATATTATTCATGTTTTTATTATATAGTTTGGTGTGTTTTGATCTAGTGGTATTTTTCTATTCAATATTCGAAATCGCAAGTTCGAATAACCTGTCTTTCATTAATTAAAAAAAACAATGTGAAATGAATATTCAAATTAAAATATACTCAATGTAATATGAATATGAAATAATACATTAATTAATCTCTTGGCCTCGTCATATAAAGTGGCTTGGTTGACTCTTTTTCATTTTTGGGTTATTAGCTTGGTTGACTTTGAACTGGAATGACCATCTACCACGCATGCATATGCAATGAGAAAAATCACAAAATAACTAGATTTTACTCGTTCTTTGAATTGGGAAACAAGATTTCTTGCTTCATTTTTGCTTCTCTTTTTCAAGAGTGTCTACACTTGGGAGTAGTACTTGTTTACCAAATAAAATCTTGGCAGTACTTGGAAAAAATATTTGGCAGTAACATACTCTTCAAACTTGATCACTTGATTACTTTTCTATTCATTATTTGCATTTACAGTTCTTCCTTTTCTTCCAGTAATGGCGCACAATGTTAGATCTTTTATGGTGAAAAGTAAATTGAAGAGTGAGAAAGTGATTTCTCAATTTGCAAAGTGAGAGAGTGACCACAGTTTTGATACATTGGAGTCTATTTTTATTGGAGCTGATTTTTTTTGATGTGTCTCACCTTATCAACACTTAGGGTAGATTCATGAGAAATAATATTGTAACTCTTGCGCTTTTAGAAATTGTATGTATAGTTTCGAGAAATAGTACTAGAGAGAAACTAACTTTTAAGATATATCAACTGATGTGGCAGTATTTCATTTGTTTCATGTTTGAGTTCAGTTTAGAACTTATTTATTCACAGTAAATAAGATATTGTCATATATTAGTTGATACTTAAAAGTTGGCGTCTCTAGTACTACTCTAGAAAACAACACACAAAATAAGATTAAGAAATTGGTGTCTTCACAAAAGAAAACTAATATTGCACAAAATGGGTCAATTTCCAAATCACCTTCACCAACCTACCAACCTTGAATTGTTCCATATTGACACACTCACTGAAAACAAAATATGTAGAATGTGCTAGTAACAAACATTGTTTTTCATACATTAGTCCACATCTGATTGCAGAATTCTCAGCAATAAAACCATCTGCCCCAATTAAAAGCATCAAAATTTTGTTTGGCATATGCCTGAAAGCCATGAGAAAAGAATAATGTCAAAGATTCTACTATTTGTGCAAGGAAAACAGCCAAGACAAAGCCCATGTAATTTTTAAATATAATCGCCACAAACTCTCGTCAACCATGGAAAGTTGAGTCGAAGTGGATGCATGAGACATGCTTTCTCTTGTTAAAAATGCTATACATATGTACACCGTACTTTTGTCCTCAAATTTGGACTCATTATACAGTAGAGTACTGTATACTGTATTTCTATACTTTGCTAAGAGTTCGATTCTTTTCCTCCCCTTCGCTTCAATGGAAAATCATCTCTAGTTCTTTTTCATCCCTAACAACATATGGGGTTGGATTGGACTGCTGAGTTCATAACTTTTCTATTGTTTATCTTTTAATGCATAAAATTATGTCTTGTTTTTTACTGGGTAATTTAAATTTGGAAACTCTTCAACGACTTTACAAGATAAGAATTTAATAAACAAAGAGTAATGAGCTTAATGATTATAATGACCCGTTCATTTGCTAACAAGTCAGTATTGAGTACAAATACCTATTTGATACGAAGGGTTTCTATAGGAGATGGCATAATATCGAGACACTATACCATCCCAAATATATATCAAGACATTTCTTTCTCGTTCCATTGTTTGTATGGTTCAAATTATCGACACATTGACATCCCAAATATAGTAAATGTTCATTCTTAACAATAAAAAGTGACGAGATTAAGTCATTACCCTCAAATTACAATAAGTATTGAATTACAAAACGTAAATGGCAAGAATCAAATTATATGGACTAAAATGAAACTCTGAATTCTACACTCGATATCTTAAGTTTGATTCTCCCCATCTTTAATATTGCTTGTATAGAAAAAACAAATAAATTTATTTATATAATTTATCATGTAACAAAAAGAGATGAAGTCGGAGAAAACAAAATCGAAAAAGTTCCAAGTCCCCCCAATCTTTCTTCGAGTGTGTGATACTTTTCTACTTATTTATTGATGGAGTACCTGTTGAGTGTGTATTTGATTTGATGCTTTGGTAGCTTGCGTCTCATGTTGCTTATATTACTGGAAATATAACAAGCTAACAAAAAATGTTTAAAACGAGAAAGGTAAGTCCCATTGAGAAACAACAAAACCGGAAAAGAAAAAAAGAAACTTAATTAAGCATGCATTATGCGCGGGGTAGGGCATGTTTGTCCCCATATTTAGCCTACGTTATTGTTGAGAGTATTATCCCACATCACAAATAAAAGTACCGTCTTATAAAATGAATAAAAAAAAACATGAGTGGTAAAAATAAAGAAGGCTACACATTTATCATTTATCTTCTCACTACTATCTTATTTTTCTTATGCACTTTTAATTATAAAAAAGAACATTAAAACATTTATAAATGACTTTGAATCATTACAAGGCTGATTGCAGCAACAATTGCTAAGAACAATCCATCACTCTCCAAACGAATAAAGATTATCAACTTGTACAAATAGAGCTCAATCGCTGAAAATTATCAAATTAACATTATGTTAATTACTTTATTTAGTTAATTACACATTGTAATTCAATAAGCCGAATCGAGATTAGCCACTTAGTATTTACTTTTTAAATAGCCATGTAACATGTTTGGTTAAGAGGCGACAGAAGATAGCTACCACTTATCTCTCTCGTTGGTTTGCTTGGTTTTCATTTAGAATTTTGATATTTGTTGCTACTTCAAAATAATAATAAATAAAAAAATATTGTAACGGAAAAAAGAATAGTAATAAAATATTCATGGTAAGTCAAAACATAAAAACAATTCGAGTCCCGGCAGTTGTAACATTTGATGGCCAACAGGCTCAGTTTCGCGAGTGGGGATTAATCGAGATGAGCGCAAGCTGTCCTAGACACCTCATGGTATTTACCCAAAAATTAAAAAACATAAAAACAACGTTAGAACAACAGCATGATGAAAAAGTTGTTACCCAGAATAACTCTATAATCATTTTGTTGGATTGAAATTCAGTTAAAATTTGGTGAGCCATTAATTTTCATTAAATTTTTTTAAAAAAATAAATCGAAGTAAAAATTGAAGTCCAAGTCCAACAACTATGGCGTCTTCCTATGAGAGCCTGAATTTTTAGACAGCGCCGAGGTGGGCCCCATCACGGGACGCCTTCAAAAATTTCAACTTTGAACAATAAATCCCACCATTTGGCGTCTTCCTCCACTCTCTCCACTATATAAAACTCCCAACACCAACTCTCATTTTGCTCTCACCCTCAGATTCATATTGTTCGTTAGATCTATCTCTCTTTTTTCCCGGAAAATTTTAGCGCTTTCCCGGAAAATCTTCGTTTTCCTGGCGGCTTTTTGAGAACCCAAGTGGGCGTCGTGGAAATGGCCGAAGAGTCGCAGAAATGGGTGCTGATGGTGACGGCGCAGACGCCCACCAACATCGCCGTGATCAAGTACTGGGGGAAGAGGGACGAGACGCTCATATTGCCGGTCAATGACAGCATCAGCGTGACGCTTGATCCGGAGCACCTCTGCACCACCACTACTGTCTCCGTCAGTCCCGCCTTTGACCAGGATCGGATGTGGCTCAATGGAAAGGTAAAAGCTTTTTGTTTGTTTTCGTCTTCTCAGTAGTCTCTTTGTGTTTGGTTCCCGGGAAAAATGCATGGGAAACAGAGGATTTGAAGGTCTTTATTTGCTGTTAGCTTTGACATAAACTTGGTGGGTCCCTGTTGGAAGAATAAGTTTTTGCCCCATTTGGTTGGCAAGAATAAGTAGAAATGGAAAGGAAATTGAAAATTTATAGTAGCTGTATCACTAGTATTGAGCTTTTGAAATTGGCACTGTTGCTTTTGCCACAGAATTGTCAGAGGTTTAATATTTGCTTCTCCAAACACCATGATCGTTTTGGGATTTCACTGATTCGTGTCTCTTTTTTTTATTTTTCCGGTTAGTGTAGGAGATTTCTCTTTCTGGAGGCAGATTCCAGAGCTGTTTAAGGGAAATTCGTAGTCGAGCTACTGATGTTCATGATAAGGAAAAGGGAATCAAGATTACTAAGAAGGATTGGGAGAAATTGAATGTACATATTGCTTCATACAACAATTTTCCTACTGCTGCTGGATTGGCTTCCTCGGCAGCTGGTTTTGCTTGTCTTGGTAACAGATAATACCGATCATATTACTGTTAATTTGTTATATGATTAGTGCCTTAAGTTTGAGAACACATGACTGTGTTAATAATGTTACTTGGGTACTGGATTAATCATTCTTTGTCAATAAATAGTAATTAAGCAATGAGCGTATCATAGCTAAGCCTCTGTTTCTACTTGCAGTTTTTGCCCTCGCAAAGTTAATGAATGCGAATGAAGATCACAGCCAGCTTTCTGCTATTGCAAGGTAGTTTAATAGTTCTTCAATTATCTCATTTTCAGGTTGCCTGTATCTTGCTTCAATTATAATGATTCCAATTGTGAATGCCTTGTGCTTCATTTTCATTGCTTGAATGTGGCTGCTGTTCATGGAATTTTTAAGTCATGATAAGTATCAGAGTTATTATGTTTGCTACTATATAGACCCCATGGTAATGGATTTTAAGTTCATCTTAGTAGTTGTGTTATAAATCCCTTTTCTTCTGTATTCACATTAAAGAGATTCAAGTATTGTAGTTGGTGGTGATAATTCTCTAAATTTGTTTGTTCATACAGGCGAGGTTCGGGCAGTGCTTGTCGCAGTTTGTATGGGGGATTTGTCAAGTGGATCATGGGAAAAGTAAGTTTAGTTCTTTTATGGTTATTGTTATGTCCTCTGTTAAAATCCAAGTTATTCTATTGATTCTTTAGTGCTGATTCTTGGTATCATTATCTATTAAGGATGAGAAGGGAACCGACAGTCTTGCAGTTCAACTCGCAGACGAGAAGCACTGGGATGAGCTTGTCATTGTTATTGCTGTGGTATGTAATATATGTTCTATACATTCTGTCAAATGATTTTATTGTCAAATTTTGGCCTGTGGATGACGGTTCTTTCTTGTCATCTTGTGCTCAGTTGTTTTTGAAAGATTTTCCCTAGGGTCTTTTGAATTTTCGACTTTCCATCTCTGAGTTGGCCATGCATTTCATTCTCTTCTTTTTAAAATATAATTTTTTGGGTAGTTTGATGGTTTGACGTTATTTCTATTCGTGTCATGCATCTTCTGGTTTTGTAGTATCAACCATATTATCTTAAATGTGTTTTCTGGTCAGCATCAATGGCACGATGATACTTTTCAGTTTTGCAAAATGCTACCTTTGAATATTATATTATATTTATTAAAAAAAAATTATCCCCGTTCAGTTGCACAAAGAGTTAGGAAGATATTAAGTAGTCAAGATTTAAAAAAAAATAGTAAGAAAGAAAAGTTTGATTTAATGTATTTAATTTGAGAGTTGCTACTATTAAAAGAACAATTTTTATAAAGTCGAGTTTATTTTTTGCAAGTCATGTTAGTGCATGTTTTGTTGTCATGAGGTGGATTTGGTGGAATGGAAACGTAATTTGGCAGTTGTACCCCAAAAATTTATATGATGGGTGTTTATAATGACTGCACATGCTTATTTTGGAACGTTGAGGTTTCACAATTTGTATAGAATCCTTACAGAAGCCAAAGATGTATTCTGAATGTCTGACTACGTTTATCACCCTATACCCTAAGTTATTCAAATCTTGATTTTGTTTATTCCAGGTAAGTTCACAGCAGAAGGAAACAAGTAGCACTACAGGAATGCGTGATACTGTTGAAACAAGTTTGCTCTTACAACATAGAGCGAAGGTACATTCTCCATTGTCCTTTCACTGCCTAGTTTAAATGATAGGAATTTTACGAACTGTAGAACTTTAATCCATAAATTCTATAATTTTGAATTTTTTGTACCTTCAACCTCCCTCATTTTAGTGCACCGTTAATATGAAAACACGGTGTCTTATTCTTTTAGGTCATCTGCTGTCGCTTATTTTGGTGGGGTCATTTAACCCTGATCTAACTTGTATATTTCTGTTTGTCTTTTTATACTGTTACAGGAAGTGGTACCCAAACGCATATTAAAAATGGAAGAAGCCATAAAAAATCGTGATTTTGCTTCTTTTGCACAACTGGCCTGTACTGACAGTAACCAGTTTCATGCTGTTTGCCTCGACACATGTCCGCCCATATTCTACATGAATGATACATCCCACAGGCAAGCCTCTTTTTTGAATTTGTGTTACTTGAAAAGCTCAGCGGTTACAGTAATTCATTTATGTTTTCATTGAGGTGCGGAACTAGAAACTTGGAATTCAATATTGACGAAGTAACTATGTTTCAGGATAATCAGCCTTGTTGAAAAGTGGAACTGTGCAGCAGGAACGCCTCAGGTTAGGAAACTAAATTATTTTTAACGATTATAAAATACTGACTGCTGCTCTTTGTAGCATGATAATGTTAAAAAACGGTGATCTTAAATTTCTAAGATTGCTAGTGCTCTGTGAGCAGTCATATCTTGAATTTGGTATGTCTGATTGTATTTTCAGTAGAAGCCCTTCAGCATAAAAAGGTTAACCTAGTTAAAGCTTCAATTTTGCATGTTTTCTTCATATAATGTCTCAACTGAAGCAAATTGCACATCCTCAACAGAAGCAAGCTGTAAAGAATTTCCGAAGAAGTAACTAATAAATTTACAAATTATTAGTGGAAAAGAAAACTTTTGGCATTAGCTTTTCAAGTAATTTGGCGCAGACTTTGTTCTCATAATAAACGTTATTGCTCAAACCATGCTTGGAAGTTTCCCTGGGGATATACCTTTCCTGAATGGCAATATTATAACATGTTAGTAAAAGTACTAAATTTCGGTTGTGACTCTTAAAGGCTTCAGAAATACTAATCTGAACCTGCTTATCTCATGTGGCACTAATCTTACTTTATGTTTAGCTTATGGCATCCGTCTGCTACTAAATATTATTTGGGAAAAGATTTTATACTCTATAAGCTTATTTGAGTTGCATACTATTCATACCTTTTTTTTTAGTAGTTGAAAATATTTTAATGACTGACAGGTGGCGTATACATTTGATGCGGGGCCGAATGCGGTTCTAATCGCACGTAACCGAGAAACAGCTGCCCTTTTGGTTCAGAAGCTGCTATTCTGCTTTCCTCCAAAATCTGATGCAGATTTGAACAGGTAATATTTGTGGGATTTCATATGACATTTCCTCAAGCTTAAGAGATTCTTATTTCTGTGTAGTTTCCGCATCAATGATTTTTCTGATGGCACCAACCTTGCCCCCCCTTGTGTGTGGCTTTCTCTTTTAAATTTTTTCTTAATTCTTTTCACAGTTTCGTTCTTGGTGATAAGTCCATTCTGAAAGATGCTGGGGTTGAGAGCCTGGAGGCTATCGAAAGTTTGCCTGCACCTCCAGAAATCAAGGATCCATCCCAGAGGCATAGAGGAGATGTTAGTTACTTTATCTGCACAAGACCTGGGAGAGGTCCAGTTGTGCTGTCAGATGAAAGTCAATTTCTTCTTAACCCTGAAACTGGGTTGCCGAAGTAAGTTGAGAAGATTTCTCTTTTCTTTCACGGTGTTCTGTTCTTTCTCAGGACGATTCAAATGGCTGTATGAGCCTGAAGTAGTTCGTTCAGATGATCCTTTTAGGCTGAACCCAACAATTGCCTTAAAATGATTATCCGAGTTCATCTCAGTTAAAGACAGTTTCTGTTGCTTGTTTCATGTATCTTTAACTTACTTTTTGCTCTTTTAATCCAATTATGGTCTTTGTGCTCATTGTCTTTGACACATTAACGAATAAATTGTCTATTGTTCATCTGAAAGTGTGACATTGTGATAACTATTAGCAATTCATCCCCGTTCTCTACATGCCCTTCCTCCTAAATGTCAATCTGAAATTTTGAACTCTTGAGTTAAAGTAGCTTGAATTCCACCAACATCATGGCATTGTATGACCTTTGTACTGATGCAGCCCAGAAGCAAATGATCAACAAACGTCTAGATCCAAGAACAAGCAAACGATCGACAAACATCTAGACCCATCAGCTTTGTGAAATTCACCAAAGAAGAGAGAAAATCTCAATAATTTTAATAATCATATTAATAAGCCGTCAATTACAACGCTTAAAGTTGTTCAAATAGAAAACATAGAACTCCAAAATCGTAGGAAGCTTCTTAAAACTTAAATGACAAGAAAATAATTACATCCTAATCTTAATAAAAGTAAACAATTAATTATTCTAAAATTAATAAAAAAAACATTAAATAAAATATTTTCTTCACCAGAACCCTATTCTGTCATGAATAAGCCAATTGATCAGCAGTACAAGAACACTTCCTCCTGGTGCTTTCTTTTCATCTCCTTTTTATTCTTTCCTACTTTTTCCTTACACATTTGCAAAAAAGTATCCTAGAATTTACCCATACGGCTACTGCCATGTTTTCACCTTCCATGCCTTTTTTTAAAGTACAAACGATAGTTTAAACTACACGGGATGAGAGATTCTCACACACACACACACTATCATGGTGTCATGGGAATTTGAACCTAGGACCACTAGTATGCAAGTCAAGGTTCTTTCTCACTTGGCTAAACCCCGTTGGCACCTTCCATGTCTTATATTTGCACCAAGTGCATTGCATCTGTCATTTGTGCAGAATTATCTATCTTCACAAACTATTTTCAAAAAGTCTCATTCCTTTCCAATATTTAATCTATATGAAAATTTTAAGCCAGTTTCGCCCAATACCTTACAAAATCTATCTTGCTGAAACAAAATGTTAAACAATGACAGAAATCTGAGTCTGATACAAAGGACAAAAAAGGGAAAAGAGCTGCCCTGTATCAACAATGGGCTACTTCTCTTCAATCAGAAGTGCCTTTAAGATAGCTTCACTGATACCATCTGCAGCTGGAAACAAGTGTCCAGCACCTGGTAACTCATGGTAGTGAATCCATGGAAGCTTTTCTGCAATATAGCGTTGCAGTTCGACTGGGACAAGCCGATCTTCATCACCCTGCCATAGATGGACGGAGCCTTCCTTACCGGCAAAAGGGTTCTTCAGATCTAGAGGATCAAATTCCCAGGTCCCAAATCCAACCATCATGTCACGAAGGACTGACTCATATTCTCCTTGCTGCTTGGCCTGTACCTGCAAAAAATAAAAATAATTAATAGATAAATGAATCATCAAATCTGGTAGCAAGGACGAATGCCACATAAAATGAGTCAAGTACAGTTGGATGAGAGTATTTTCAACAAGATTACAGCACAAACAAAACTCCCAACTGCCCTGTAAACCGGGAGGCTCCTGAAAACCTCAACTAGCACTATAGCTCTCCTCGTGTGAATTAGTCTTGCAAATGATATTAACTCTTGCTCAAGGGTTTCAAATTGTTGTACAACGGTTTGAGAAGTTAATTTTTCACATCATATGAAGCTTTATATTGAATCTTCTAAGCTACGTGGTAATGGACCGAGCTGAAGTACTGCCTCATGTTGTGTCCCTCTTATTGAGTTCAATAAAAAAAGTCCTAAACATTTACCGAATATGAAAAGTACCTTGTTATCTCTTTCAGAAACGTTCGCATTCCGTATGATTTCCAAATCTTGGCGAGAAAAAATGTTCATATTTGGGTTAGTACTGGATACAACACTGGATGTAGGAAATAGTTTCTGAGTGTTCCACCAGTGGATTAGCCATGGTATGTGGTGAGCAACTCGAAGTGCCCATTGATCCCGCGGAGGTTGTTTATAATAGGCACCGGACAAGTTGGCAGGCAAGCCTGGCCACCAGTAGTTGACAACAGGAGCAATCAGTGTTGCTCCTGCTAGCCTGTCAGCATCCCAAACATCAAACTTGAGAAAAACTTCAACACTGATTAACATATCAGATAATGTAGAATTTGGTCCTCATTGAAGTAAAGCCTTGTATCCAGACTTTGATACAAGCATAAGTACCAGATAAAACCTACTTTCAATGAAGTTCCAATGCTGGTGTAAAGTAATTAATGTATTATGCAGCCTTTACAAATCTTTACTTCAACATTTAGAAGGTTTCCATATTGTATCCAGCCAAAATTTTAGTTGTTCTTAAAAGTTAAAAGTTAAATACATATGCAGCATGATATTTGAAATTAATTCATCTCTCTCTCTCTCTCTCAATTGGTATTCTAACATTTACAAAGGACATGTAGAGCATTTACAACTGCCTATACTATCCATGAGGCTTGTAGGAAAGTCTTACCTGTGAGGGATGTACTGAAGACACTTCCAGATGACCTGTCCACCCATAGAATATCCAATTACATAAAATTTGGATCCCAGTTCCAGCTGGTCACCAAGCTCTTCTATATCTAAAGCCAAACTCTTCCGCGTTCGCTTAGGATCCGGATCACTTTCACCATATCCCGGTCTGTCAAAAGAAACAATGTGCAACCCTAAATCTTCAAGCACTTCCTGAAAAAGAATCCATCAAGAAGTTAACCAATCTAATTTTTGGACACAAACTTCAAAAACCAATGAAGACTATAAAATCAATTTGAAATTGAGAAACAAATTGCGAACCTGAGGGACGGTTGTTGCAATCAGTGCATCATGTCTGGTAGAACCAAAGGCATGAACATAAATAATCTTATATCTGGCCACTTCTTTTGGAACACCATATTCCTTGTAGGCCAAATATCTTCCATCCCTCAGCTTTATTCTAGATGCCGTGACGAGTGGGCCGCCGGGGGAGCCACAAAGTTTTGGAGGGGGTGGTTGGATGGCCTGATATGCCCATGCCAGCAACCCAACTAACAAGAGAAATGTGAGTCTCTTAAACATCTCTGATGCCTGACCCCCTGAGAATGAAAAATGAAACTTTGCTGAAAAACCAGTACAAGAAGTGAGGAGCAAAATAGCACTGACCTTGAGGACACTATAATAAGGCTTAATTTGGGCATTTCCCCTTAATTTGGATGATTAAAGTTTTGATGAGATCACATATTGATTACCTCTACAAGTTCACCAATGAAGAGGTTATCTGAATGAAACAACAACCAGAAGAACAGGAGAGCCAAGTTTAAAAAGCAGGGTAAACGGAACAAAAATACACACAAAATACAGAAAGGGTCAATAAACAAATAAATCAGTTGTACATTAGAAACTCCCATCATTTAGTTAATTTTAAAAGAAATTACATGAACTTCAATAATCTATCTGCAGTATTCTTTGCTCTGTTCTTCATCAAAAAAAACATATATATATATATATATATATATGGCAATAAATCTGTCCATTGGGTTTCCATTGTGTCCAAGAAAGCAGTCAATATGCAGAAACAAGCATCAACCAAATCAACCAATCATTTTTAAGACAGAAAAACTTGAATATATGGACTGCATCATATAAACTAGACTCAGAGCATAAAACCCAGAGAGAGAGAGAGAGAGAAAGAGAGAGAGAACGTACGTTAATTACAGTTGAGTGCAGGAGGAACAGCTGTTGTGCTGAAGCAAACCATTATATATCTTTAACTTAACATTTGGTTTTAATTAATTAATTAATTGTATTACAAGTAAGTAAACAAGACCGCCACCTAACTACCAAACCCAACCTAAAGTCGATGGCATATTTTTCGCTCCATTCATTTTGACCTACATTTTTCTGGTCAGCAGCAAAGCAGAGAGGAGGTTGGTTAATCCAAAAGTTGCAGGCAAACCTTACAAGACGACAAAAATGGATTATTTTCTGCTACGCTGTCGTAAGATTGACCTAAATTCTTTTGTTGTCGTCTGTTATAAATTATTTTCTTTTTACGACAAAATGGATAATTTTGTGTTGTCGTAAGATTACCCTAAATTTCAAGAGTTTTGAAAAATATGATAATTTAAAATGTTGACAATCTCTAAGAAAAATTTATCTGATACCCCACATAGCATGATGAAGCGATGCAGTGGATTTACCCAAAATTATGACACTTTAACTCCTTCACTTTTCGACCAGAAGAAAAAGAAAACTCCTTCACTTCAAGTTACAAGCTTCCTTGTCTCCCCTTCGCCGGATCGGAGTTGGATTAAACTTATTTAGTGCTTAACTAAAGAAAATTAAAAGCTAAAGAAGTTGTGGAATTATGGGAGCAACGGTCCTACCAGGGGCAGATCTTAAGCCATGACAGGGTAGGCTACCGCTCATCCAAAAATATTTTACTAAAAAAAAACATATATATAAGTTATATAATTGATATCCATTGCATGTGTTGGTATACACTCTTGCCTACCCAATCCATATAAAACCCACAGCACAAGCCCACTCAAACTTTAAAAAACTGAAGAAAAAAAAATTATAACCAGCCAGCCCATGTTATGAATGGCCCAGTCAAACTTTAATAAAAGAAAGAATATAACTTAAGCAGCCAAATAGTGATTGTGCAGTGCAATTCCAGACAGAGTCGGGAGAGCTTCTTCTCAACGCAAGTCTTGGCTGTGCTGTGCAATCGTGGACACTGGACAACCTCTTCTCTTCTCTTCTCATATACAAGGAAATAAGTATTCTTCTTAATCTCTTCTCTTTAATTATCTTCTTCTATTGGGTTATTCCTAAAATAAATGTATGCATCTTAGTTTTAATTTTAATTTGAAATTGAGTTTTCTAGGGTTTAATTAGGAATAAAATATAATTTGAGGATTTTGTGGAAATTGAGTTGAGGTATTTTCAAAATGATATGCATCGCCTTCCCTGCTTTAAGGACCTCACCACTCTTCCTCACTTATGTCAACAATTGATGGAAACAACTTTGGCAGAAAACTACCATTTGCTTTACAGATTGATTCAGTTGGTATTGACTCTTCCTGTTTCTACAACAACAACGGAACTAGCTTTTTCATGTATGAGAATTATTAAGAATAGACTTCGAAGCACCATAGCTGATGAATTCCTTGCTGATTGCATGATTCTCCACATTGAAAGAGAGTTTGCTAATAGTATCGATAATGAAGAGATAATTTAAGAATTTAAGATTTCTAAGCCTCGTAGGGTACAATTTTAGATTAAAATAGTTTAGTTTTTGTGTTGCATTGCATTTACTTCTTGTTTTTTTTGTTAAGCTTTTATTTATGTATAGATATGCATATTTGAGGGTAAGGCTCATTACGTCCCCCCTGACTAGATGTATCTTTTTATTTTTATCAATAAAATTCACTCATACCGTCGAGTTTTTAAGGTAAGTTTCGCCTACCTGACTTTTGAATCCTGGATCCGCCACTGGGTCCTACGTTTTGGAGGCCTAGAGTTTAGGGTTTAGGGCTTTATATTTTTTGGTAACTATTTAGGGCTTTTATTGAGTTTCCTCTTTTTAATTTGGAATTGAGTAATTGGGCAAGTTTATTATTATTATTTTTTACAATTAGTGGGACTTTATTGAGTTTCTACTTTTTAATTTTGAAATGAATGATTAGGTAAGTTTTTTTAATATTACAATAATTGGTTTGGGCCTAACAAAATATTTATATAATTGTTGGGGTCTTTTTCTGTCAAAAGGCTTGTTGATTCTTGGATCACCATAGAGTGGTGGACCAATCCTTTGTTGCCCTTTATTTTTTTGAGATAGCGAGAACTAGACCCAAAGCATCCTGAAGGAGAAGTAAGTCCTAGGGGTACTCTGTTCTTCTTCCAGCGGCTACATGTTTTGTGTTAACATTTCCGGCGGCTCTGGAAGGAGTTGAAGATGGTGCATTGATGTTGTATAGGCTTGGCATGAGAGTTTGCTTTGGTGAATCAAGATATTACTAGGATTGGCATGAGAAGCTTGTGGTGTGGGAGCTAAGAACCCATGAGTTTAGCAAGAGAGAGAGAGTTGGAAAGGGAAAAACTTGGAATTGTAAATGGACTATATCTTCTGGTAGCTCTAGAATTGCTCCCACCAGCTTGAATAGGTTTCTTGAAACAAAGAAAGTTAATTCTGATGCTTGACTCTTAGGATGGTTTTTTACAGAAATGCTTGGGTGATGTGCATGGTCTTCTAAAAGAAAATAAGCATAAAGAAAGGATTAAGGCTTGAGATTTGGTGTCACATCCCTGGATCGGCTCCACCCTAGCACGATATTGTCCTCTTTGGGCCCCCCTCTTTGCCCTCACGGTTTTGTTTCTGAGAATTCATGAGCAACTTTCCAGTGGGTCACCCATCATGGAATTGCTCTAGCCCAAACTTACTTAACTTTGGAATTCCCATGACTCTGAAGCCAGTGAGCTCCCAAAAGGCCTCGTGCTAGATGGCGACGGGCATATATATATATATAAGGCACATCACCCCTTCTCCATTGGTCGATGTGGGATGTTGCTATCCTCGGCCAGTAACGCAATGACACGTAGGATAACTTTTCCACATGTCATTGTATTATTGGTTAGGAATAGCAAAACAGTGTTATTCCCGTTACATGTAAGTTTTTTTTTGCCTTAAAAGAAGTTTTTTTTATAGATATAATAATGTTAATAGTTTTATTTAAAATTAACAAGTTAAGTCACTATTAAGTGAAAGGACACATGTCAAAAAAATAAGGAAGAAAAAGGTGGGACACAGTAAAAATGGATACGGGAAAATTGACTCCCAATGTTGCTACATATTAAGTTAAGTTTTCTTACATCTCCTACAAATTTTTTGAAATCATTTAAGCTATTATATTATTCAAACCACATAACATTTACTTAATGTGCTTTCCGTTTTACCATTTTACTTAATGATTAGTTCTTTTTTTCCTTTATAAATGGGTAGTGGAAATTCGAACTTGGAACCTTTTATAACCTTAAAAAGAAAAGTACCACTAGACCAAATAACTAGTTGGTGATAATCTAACTCTTTGTAAATTAAACAAAACAAAACTCTTTGAAAATTAAACAATAAAGTCCTTATTTTTGTCAAAGTTAGGAAGGGAAATGGGGGAAACTCACACACACATATATTATGGGGGCTTGAATCGAGAACCACTTGGAATCACACCAAAAAACTTGGCCAATAAATTGGATTTCAAGTAAACAATTACCTTGAAAAATTCGTGATTCTCTCAATGCAAGACTCCTTATAAATTAAACAAAGTCCTATTTCAAGTGACTATTTACCTTGAGCATTTCTTGATTCACTCGATGCAACACTTTAAGATAAAGTCTAGATACATGCAATCTCTCACCCTCCAAAATAAAAGTATTTTATACTGATACCTTTTTAAAATTATTTAGGCTGAATTAATTATACTGTCCCTTGAGACTATGGTTAAATTTCACATCATCTCTTGAAAGTCATGATGACCCACATTGCTTCCTTAAACAAAGTTTATTGTCAAGTCCGTAAATAAATCTGTTAAAATCGATGAAGTGAGTCCTACATGGCTCCTCTAATTTTTTTTCTACACATGAGCCCATCAGTGACTTTGACGAAAAGTGACTTGACCATGGGTTGTGGGGAAGGATAAAGTGAAACACGAAACATCTGTCAATGGAACAAAACGAACATTGACTAATGTTATGGAAGCTGTGATGTTGCTTACACTTTTAACTTCGATTATTCATGATGGGAAATTGCTCAACTTTTACTGGACCAACGTTCCTTTCAACAACCCAATTTTCATATATATATACTATATATATATATATATAGCTACCTAGACAAATCATCATCATGCTTCATGAATGACTTTGATAATAATAATAATATATATCTATAAGTTCTATAATATCTAACCCCACATTAAAACAAAAGCATCACATATAAAATACAAATTAATTAATTAATTAGTGATTGATGGCTCAGCTTTTTGCTTATGTAAGCATCTTTCTCTTAGTTTGTGGATCAGCCAATGCTCAAGCAACCCAGTTCTGTGCTTATGCCTGGAATGAATTCAGCAATTGCCTGAGGTTTGTTACAGGTTTATATTCTGACCCCTCAGCCCAGTGAGTCGGTGAGGACATTGAACATGAAGGCCAAAAGTGGTGGGGTAGCTCCTCGGAATATATGCCAGTGCATTGAGGACAGTGGCGGATCCAGGATTCTGTGGCCAAGGGGGCTTAGTGTAAAAGTTCCGAAATTTTTTTACAAAGAAAATAATGCTAAAAAAGCCTTTTAATCCGTCATTCGAAATTTTTCCTCTACCTCAATAGCTATACTATATTCCAACCAATCATACTCATCAAACCATTGAGCAATGAAACGTCTATTAAATCCTGATTGATTAGTTTGTGGGAATTTATAACTTCTAGGTTGACAAGGTCCCTTTTGTAGATATGCTCTTCGGATCTCATCCCGAATATTAGGACTATAATCCGTCATTCGAGGTCTTAGTCCAGGATTTGCCTAAAGATTAGCTAATATCTCATTTACTTCAATTGGTCTTGTTGCATTTGAACTATCCGGATTAGACGGAGAAGGACTATCCGTAGATAATTTTCTTTTATAGAATCATTCCATAATTCTACAAATCAATTAATTGAATCAATCATTAATTTTTATCCAAATTATCAAATGAATATGAAAATGTCAATAACCTACTCTCAATATTCACCCATATCAATCAATATTCAATATACCAAATTATCATATCAAATATCATTCAATATTTAATATACTCAATCAACAATCAAGCATAAACGCAATCAATCTAAATTATCCATCAATATGATTCATATCCATAGATTTCATTACATTAAAAAAAAAAAATATCAATATCAACAATATATTATCACTATAAATTTATTAATTTAAATTTTGACCTGCTTACTTGTACTTGAAAAAAAAGGGCGGCACAAGATGGTGGTGGTGATCGCCAATGGGCCACCGGCGAAGAGTTGATGGAGGTTGTCGGAGGTTAGGAGGTTGGGAGAGGTTAGGATTTGAGAGGGAAGCATTGGGGGACCCAAAAATTTTTTGGCGGAGGTGCAATATTGACTAAGTATGAAAAATGGTTTTTTCGGAATAATCATTTTCTCAAGATAATTTTTGGCGGCTTTTATTCCTTACACATCAAATAAGAAAACTTGATTTTATGGGATTTTATTATGAAGTATATATTGACTTAATGAGCCATCATTTTTAGCATAAATCGTATTTTACACTAAAACCGAATTTTCATATTTTGATTTGGTGAGAATTTGATTTTCTAGTATTTTTATTTGAAACCAAATGGGGGGGTACTTCCTTATTTACATTGTAAACTTAAGTAAATGGAGTAATATAAAAATAAATAAAAGTAAAAGGACAAAGACATTTACTTAAATGTTGAAGATGGAAATAAGGTAAGCTGTACAACAGCTCCTGTGTTTTTTTTGTTCTGGTTTTGTTTTTTTTTTTTTTTTTTTTTTTATTTACCTGGCCCAAAACGACGTCGTTTTGAGGCCAGGTCATTTAAAAAAAGTTGACTGAGCCTTGGACCAAACGACGTCGTTTGGCAAGGCTGTTTTAAAAAAGGCTTTTTATCACAAATGGTCCCTGACGTTTGCGAAATTATTACCTTTCGTCCCTAACGTTTTTTTGTGACACTAATGGTCCTTAAGGTTACCCTCTACACATCAAAATGGTCCCTGCCGTTAGCTTCCGTCAAATTTTCTGTTAAGTTGTTGATGTGGCACGTGTGTGGTGCCCACACATTCAATAGTATAAAGCCACATGGCTTTAAATAAAATAAAATATATTTTAAATATTTCAAGACTTAAATCCATAAAAAAAGAAAAAGAAAAATACCTGCACCCTGCATTCTCATTTTAAAACTTAAATGAGCAATCAAAGGCTGGCCTTGTTCCTGCAAAAGATTCGGACCTTGTAAAGGAGAAAGAGAAGAAAAAAATTAGCAGCCCAAAATCTTTTAGAAGTCAGGAGCCGAGTCCATGAATATCGAGCAGGAGATACATCTCATCCTGAGAATGATAAGATTTATGCTCAACTTAGGGGCTTAAGGGAACAAATGAAGGAGGCTGGTTACATTCCAGAGACTAGATTCGTGTTACACGACATAGATCAGGAAGGCAAGGAAGATGCTTTGCTTCCCTTAGTGAGAGACTTGCGATAGCTTATGCCCTCCTCAGCAGCCCAGCTCGTTCATCTATTCGGGTAATCAAGAATCTTCGTGTTTGTGGTGATTGCCATAATGCATTGAAGATTATTTAAAAAATTGTAGGCAGGGAACTCATCATGCGAGATGCTAAGAGATTCCACCATTTCAAAGGGAGAGGGAGAGGGAGAGAGAGAAAGAGGAGGAAGAGTAGGGAGAGAGAGGCAGAAGGTGGGTCTGCGAGGGAGGAAGCGCGTAGGCAGAGTAAGAATGCAGGGTGCAGGTATTTTTCTTTTTCTTTTTTATGGATTTAAGTTTTAAAATATTGAAAATATATTTTATTTTATTTAAAGCCATGTGACTTTACACTATTGGATGTGTGGGCTCCACACACGTGCCACGTCAGCAATTTAACAGAAAATTTGATGGAAGCTAACGGCAGGGACCATTTTGATGTGTAGAGAGTAACCTTAAGGACCATTAGTGTCACAAAAAAACGTTAGGGACGAAAGGTGATAATTTCTCAAACGTCAGGGACTATTTGTGATAAAAAGCCTTTAAAAAAATAAACACACGCAGCGCGCGCGCAAGGCGCAGTGCAGCTGCGCAGCAAGCTTCTCCTCCTCCTGGGACTTTCGTCGAGCAGTTGGCGTGCATCCAAGGGGGCTTCCAGCAGCTATCCAAGGGGGCTTCAATGGAGTCCCTTGCCAACTTTCCAGCATTCCAAGGGGTCGTCCGACCCCTCTTGTCCCAACGTGGATCCGCCACTGATTGAGGACATGGCTTTTGTATATGGAATTCCTTTTGTAGCCTCCATTATCCAAGATCTTCCCATGAAATGCAATGAGCATCTTAGTTTTCCTATTTCTAATAGCATGAATTGCACCCAGTAATACTCTCTCTCTCTCTCTCTCTCTCTCTCTCTCCAGCCCTTGTCAATTATGCGGGTATTGGTATGGTTAATAATGTTGGGTTCCATGTTAAAATCCGTTATCAAATACTCTCAAAATAGGAAATGGGATTAACTAGAATGAAGTAGTTGATCTAATTCCGATTTCTTGATTCCCTTGTGTAAGTTTCTCGATTCATGGCTTTCCCGACTCCTGTAAACAAATATTCTCTACCAAAAAAACAATATTAATTTAGTCACCAACATCTGTGGCACATGATGAGTGGCTAAAGGCACTATTACTGGTGAATAATAGTACAATGGACATAAATAACTATGGTTGTTAGCTATTATTGTTTTCTTGTAGTGATCGGTATAATAATTAAGAAAAATTAGGTATTGTTTTCTTCTGGTCGTCGCTCGTTGCTGGTCATCGTTTCAGATTTTGGGAAATAAGTTGGAACTGCTGAAAGAGAGAATGAAGAATTGGGTTCGATCGTTGGTGTGTTCTTAGTTGGTGGTTGTCGCTGTTAATTGTCGCCGTTGATTTTCACCGTTGATTATCGCCGTTGGTGGTAGCCGTTGGTGGTCGAGATTTTGGGGTCGGTCTCAACTCTTCGCGCGACCAACGGCTGTTAGTTTGGTTTAAAATTAAATACCGAAATTTGATAATAATAATAAATGGCATATCCTGTCATTTTAATGTTCTTTGATATGATTTTGGTAAAAGTAGGTGTTAGGTTTTTGTCTTTGGCCTCATGTTAATTAAGTAAATTGTATATCTATTTTCCAAATTACTAAACTATATAGTGTCTTCAAATGAAAGCTCCCTTTTTTTTTGATAGGAATGTATACTTCTCTTGACGTCCTAAATTTGCGATAAATATTTATAGAATATATATATATATATATATATATATATATATCTCATGCCCCTCGTAAAGTCAATGGTGCAGCAATCCCTGAAACTACAATTCAATAAGCCCCTCGTAAAGTCAATGGTGCAGCTAGTCTTCGTGAACGAGGCTCTGGCTCAATGTATTTAATTACTTTTACAAGGTACATTTCAAAACACAAGATCTAGAATCTCTCTCTCTCTCTCTCTCTCTCTCTCTCTCCCCGACTGACACGTGGCGACTAAAGAGAGAGACATCTCACTGCAAAATCATGTCGAACTAAACCCTTTCGAAGAAGTAAAGAGCTGACTATTTACTTGCCACCATAACAAAGAGAAAGCACGCTGAGCATTGTACTGTCGAGAGGTCCTACCGATACTCAAGATACCTTTGTACACATGAGCCACATTTCCAATACTCAAGATACCTTTGTACTGTGAGTCGAGAGGTCCTTCCGAAGCCAGAAGTTAACAAGAAACGAGTCAATAATAATCTGCATCAGTAAAATTATTTGTCAGTTAAAGAAAATTTAAGAAGATACAGATGAACGGACGTAAGAAGAACCTGATTTAAGTGTGCTGCAACACAAGGAACAACAAGCAAACCAGATTCACCCAGTGCACCACCAAGTTGCTCCACTACAGCCACCATTACAGGCAGAGTTTTCTGTGAAAAGCATGCCAAGGCATCAACAATCATTGATTGCATTAAAGAAAAAAACTACTGATTTTGTTAAGCAGTTGCTTCTTACAAAGTCAAAAGTTGACAGGTATCCTAAACAAAATAGTCACTTAGGCCTACAAGAGATCTAAGTCACAACTTCACCAAGGATGGGGAGTTAAAAAGTTGGAGAGCAAACATATTTCAATACTGGCTAGAGAAAGTAAAAGTTTGAAAAGGACGATAATTTTTTAGTTGAAGGTATGCATATCTCTCACCTGGCTCGCAACAAGGAGAACAGCAATGGCATTTTCTTTCTTGGAAAACACTGATCGACTGCCACCAGAGACAGCTGAGATGCTCTTTAAAGCAAGAGCATTAAAGGCTAACAAGATGACGTGCAGAAGTCTGCAATAAAAGAAGAGAGATCTTTTCAGTAGGCCAATGCATTTGAGCCCATCAAGTTTCTAAGACACCTATCTTGTGTGCAATCCAAATACATCACATATCGTTTGCGTTTAATTGTGGTTCATTAGAACATCTTCAGCAAAGAATGTCAAGCAAATGTACTCATTTGAGCGCACTAAGGGTTTAAAAGATACTGGAAACAAGTCCAATAAAGAAGACCCAGAGTAACAATTTGGATTCAATATTTTTGAGAAGAAACAAACCTTTTATAATGCTAACAAAAATTACAGTACCAGTGGACAAGGTGTGCAGTCTAAGAACGTACAAAAAACAAAAGAAAGAAAAAGAACAGACATAGAACTAGTGTATCAAAAATAGAATAATATTGAATCCAAGAAGCCCCGCAAGCACTTCTACAATTTGGCTTCGATATCAATTCTACTGGCCAAAGACCAATATATTCTCAAGCAATATTTGTTGTAGGTAAAGTATTATTGCTTCCAAATTGAAACATGTGAACAAAAATATAAACTGAAACTTCAACGTGTGAAATAGCTTCATTCAATGAGAATGAAAGTAGAAATGAGGTCGCCGATTGTGATGGACTTTAAGCTAGGTGGGCAAGATTGGTCTAGTCAAATCTACGCAATGTAGCATGTAGGTTTGCATAAGCATGCCCTATCCCCTTGGGTTAGTAGGGGCCCCCATACTATGATGGGAGAAAAAAAAAAAAAAAAAAAAAAAAATAGAAATGATGTCTTACACCCTACAGACTAGTTAATGTTTGAGAAAGCATCATACATGTCCCTAAAGATTCAGCACCAAGTTTAGATATTTTCAAAGTTTCTGAAGGAGGATTTCTCACCTAAAACATTCTGCATGAAAAGAACTAGACTGGCTAGAAGTTCCTAGAAATAATTCAAATTTGTACTATTGCATTAAAGCATTAAACTAGTGAGAACAAGAAGAAATTTTTTTTGAAAATTAGGGTGAAGATCATACACTCCCATTCCAATAGCCACAAGAAAAACTGGAGGCTTAACCATCAACAGCAGTGACCTCGACCTACTAACTTGTATCCATGGCACCTGAATAACCATCAGATGTTTAAAAGTTTACAACATCTGCAATTTAAAACTTAAGAGAAACGAAGATGTCCTACAAGAACCAAAGACAACACACATTTCCCATAATAAATTAAAGTGTCAGCTAGGATATGTACATTTTAGTATTTGAACTGGCTTGGGGCAACATATTAAATTCCACATTCTGAAGAAATGAGAACATTGTGACACAAGAATTTAACAATTTTTTTCCATTTAAACATAATGATCGTATCACCAGAACATCATAAATAAATTAATGAAACATGAGAATGAACTACATATCAAATCAGCAATGAATAAACAGAATGCAGTGCAATAGACTTTGAAAACATAACCACCACCAGAACATTTTCTTTTTTGAGAAGTAAATTTCATTCCCAAAAATCAAGAATTACAACACCAAAAGCTCAGTACAAAATAGACCATAACAGCAACCAAACATATACAATTACAGTCTCAGGTTGTTCAAAAACTTCATAAAAAAATGAAAAGGTTCCCCGTTTTCTTTAAGGACAGGATGCACAAAATAGAATGCTTGAGGACCCCAATTGGGGCCTACACATCCTTTAATCATCTGTTGCTTTCCTTCCATATGCATCCACAGTGAAGCAATCAGCCAACACTCATGAAAGCCCTGCTAACTCTAAACCCCTCAAAGCCCATAACAAATCCACTACTTGACATGTTTCCCAGTTATGCAGATATTTGAGAAAGGGAATGTCCCAAACCATATCCTTGCCGAAAAGACTGAAACTCAAAAATCACGGCAAATTTGCTTTTATGCTATTGTAAAGTATGCGGGGAAGACATCTGCCATGGATGATCCCCGCACCAGACATCTGACAAAAGGCGAACCAGGCCACCATCCCCTCACCTTAGACCTAATGAGTTTGTAAACTCTGTAAGAAGCATCCGAACCTTTCCCGATACCTTCCCAACACCTATCCTAAAACATTGTGCATCTTTGCTGGGTACCATCCCCTGACCCAACAACAAATAAGTGGGAAAGCATCAGTCTGATATAAGCTCTTCTTTATTTGAGTTTTTTTATGCCAAATACCAGAAGATCCCAGTTTCCTTAAAATGGACTAATACTTAAACTTCAGAAGACCCGGGAGAGAGAAACATTACTCTGCAAGAATGATAATTATATAAAACACAAATTTCATTGAAACCAGAAGAATAGTGCCCAAGAATACATCGAACTGATAAACCACAATATGGCACCAATGGGCTACATATCCAAACAACCTACACAGTCATAAATGCCTTGTACATAAACTAACAAATATCATGGTGAAGAGGAAAGTTTAATAGTACGACAGAATAACCAAAATTAAAAAGTAAACAGAAAAATATAAACCAGGATATTGGTCTTACTAAACTGAGGAAGACTGCACTGATCTTAGAAAAAAGCTTACGGTTTTGATCAACAAAGTCTGCAACACCTGTAATGGACATTTAATGAGGACTGACTAACAAAAGATAAAGTGTTCAGACATTAGAAAATTGACTAAAATACTGATCTTCTTAAAGTTTAGCATGGATGTCAGAATTCATCCTGTTAGTTTAATCAAATTATGGTTTCTATACCAGATCAAGCCTAAAATAGAAGTTATTCCAACCCAACGTCATTCTACATTCATATGCGGGTTAGCTTTGTAACTATTTCAATCAGAAGGACCTATAGTCTCAAGAGTGTTTCTGGTATGTTCGAGGCTAAGCTTTGAAGGTGAGAGAACCATTAAAAATTTCTAATGGGTGTGGACAGATATCCCTCATTCCAATGCTGAAAATTCCTGTCCATTTCACCAGTGGATGAAGGCCTTAGGCTTGACAATGTAGAATGGTAAATTTCTCACTGATTCTTAACCAATTGCAAAGTGTGCAAGTTTTTTATACAATCAAATCAAGATTTTGAAATTTTAAGAAATGTGTAGTGAATCATGAGTAGGACTGTAGTTTCTCAAGAATAGGATAAGAAACAGTAGTTTGTGATTTAGGAAGTGGAAGTTTGGGAGTTTTAAAATTGTAACGTTTGGTTACGTTATCGGAGAATGTTTCTGAGTATATTTTCAGAGAAAGAAAATGAGAAAACGAATTTGCATTTTCAGGATTCGAAAATGTGTCTGGTAGATTAATTGGAAAACAGATTCGGAAAATAAAAATAGTGAAAACATGTCTGGTAGGGCAATTTGAGGATAATAATATGTGGGTTATTTTTCAAGTATATTTTTGCTAATTTTTGTTCTAAAAAAAAAATTTAAATACAGGCTAAAAGTATTATTAACAATGAAAAATGTATAATTTGAGAATAATAATGTATAATTAAAATAAAATAAAATTTCTAATGTTAGAAAAACCTAGATAATAAAATTCTATTATCTTTAGTTTAAAATAAATATGAAATTGAATATGATATGATGGTTTCCTCATAAAATTAATATACACTGGTGTAACAAAATAAAATAATGAAGTGCAACGAAAAAAATGAAAAATGAAAAGCAATCAGACCAATACACTGGGTAGAAAACAAAAACAATAATTTGGTGTTTTCAGTTTTTGTACATGAGTTTGAATTTGTTTTTAGAAAACGAATTCCAGTGAAAATGAAAACAACATACCAAACGCAGTTTTGGTAGAAAATGAAAACGGGGCCTTGAAAGCATTACTGAACGGCCCCTAAAAGACTTTCCGGTACTCTTACATATAGAAATTATTGATATTGTCGTCCATCTGAAAAACTCAGAGGCTAATCGTGCAATCTCCATTCTAGAATAGTATGTTAAGCATAAAGTTAATATCAGGGTGCGATGTCACTATTTCACATCAATCGTTTTGTGTGCGAGGCCACACACGCACATGCATTTGATGTTTATATATAATGATTGTACTTGTGTACGTATGCATAGTGTATGTATGTCTGTATCTATAAGAAATTATTTAGAATGAGACTGATAGCCTGAACTGTATTGTGCCTCATTCTTAGTACTCAGTAAACAAATACCATTCAGGTCCTAAAATTCATATGAAGTTATTGGCTGCCACAAAAACAGGCCACAAAAACAGACAACATCCGAAACAGAAAGAAGATAATAAAATACTCACCTCTGAAGGATTCTCGAAAAATCTGTTCAAGGAAAGGACAAGTAACTATGAAAACGATAAAACACCAAAGAGAGTATATAATGTATCTTTTCAAGAGGCAAACTAAACGATTTCTATAAAAAGGTAAGAAAAAGGGAAAATTGAAAAAACACATCTATGCTTACTTCAGTAAATAGTTGATAAATCAGAAGGTCAGTTTTGTTAGAAAGGAATTGATTACCTTCCCCAAGATTAGGGGGATCAACAATGTTAGAACAAGACTTTTGAACAGTTGCTTAGTTGGAACAGATACACCAACTCCACCAGCTATGTATTTTGATATAGAAAATGGGACCTATAAGGGTATATGGTGTTAGCGTATGCTTAATGAGATCAACTAGAGAACTAAATCAGTTGCTGTGTAAGCCATACAGAGCAAATGCTGTTTTATCAATCCGATTCTATATAAATAAGTGAATGCAAACATAAATTGAGAACACTTGGGACTAGAAAACTCACAATCAAAATTCCTAAAAGGTTACTGATCACAGTAAGGGCAAGAGCAAGAGCAGAATTGGCCCCCGCAAGCTGCATTTGAAGAACACAAACCTTTAGCTAAGCCCAGAACCTAGTACATACTGCTAAAACAATAGCAGGAAAATGAAAATGTTCAACTAAGATCAAAGACAAAGGAATTAGCAACCTGAGCAAGTGCCACTCCACTTGATAGTGTAGTTGGCATACAACAAAATATTGCAAGCCCTACAACAACAAAGAAACTACTTTCAATTAAGATTCAGGAATAACAGATGAATGATTCACCATGATTCTGCAAATTCCAAGCTAACTTACACAACAAAATTAAGTATTTGCAATCAAGCAACGACAAACAGGACCAAAAAAAATCTGCAGAGTTTGAGCTTAGCTGTTTTGCTAAAACGAGCAACCCTAAATGCTATACCCATACTCAAGCTCCTAAATACCATACTCAACCCTAAAACGTTTTTGTCATTGCCTTGTCCAATGGCCATAGTTAGTGATACTAAGTGACCTACTATCAGATTCTTGTCATAAATTTCTATCGCATGGAAAAGATCAATTTAAAAGAAGGATAATTCTCCAATTTTCATAGCCAGATAGGATCTCTCACAAAAAAATTAAGCTCTTTGTCATTGAAGCAAGCTATAAACCACATATGCTTAGGGGTGATTGAGCTAATTTAGTTGATTTGATTGAGCTCATTTGGATGACTTCTAGGGCTATACAGGAATTTTTCATTGAATTCAAATTTATTTGTTTATGGTATATAAGGCAATGTAAACTTTTTTAGAAGAAACCACAATTTCATTACAAACTTTCGTACACAACAAGCCTGAAACTTCACAGCAATTTCATTCAGAATTTCTCGAATATTTAAATAACAGAATTGCCCTCTCAACCAACACTACAGGTGAAAATAAATTCAATTGCCAAACCTCTAACAAACTCTGGAGGTTGGAGCTGCAGTTGCAATATTATCCTCGAAAAATATGGAGTAAATAATAGAATGGAGACCTGAATCATGGAGAGGATTAGCAATATGTAACAGATCTAGCTAGCATTAATGAAATGTCAATGCAAGTGGTATCCATAAGCCTCAGTTTAAAAATGGCCTAGGGATTAATTATATAATAACATATTCAGAAGCAATGGAAAATCAATGCAATCCACAAATCTCAGTTTAAAGTTGATAAAGTATCAGTTAGGAAAAAGAAAAAATCAAGTAACACATCTTAAAGAAACAAAATGAAGATAAACAAGCTCTCAGTTATGAGATATTGCCCCAACATTTTTCACCAATCTACAGATATTAAGGCATATAAGACTGTAGCTTGTTATAAGAAACAACAGAGATTCAATCATCGTGCCAGTCAGCAGGCAACTTGAAATAGGAGAGGTCAGTGAAGACAAGGGATTATATTAGTTAATCCAAAGTCATATTTTTCAGTCGCAATGCTAAACAGATGAGATATACACAATACATAAATGATATAGCATAGCATAAGTTTAAACCACTGGATGCAATAACGTTTTAATAAAAGATTACATGAGTTTCTCCATTTTCCCCAAACATCTAAAGGAACAAAAGCATGCCCTAAAAAAAATTTCAAATACAGTTATACTTGATAAGAAAGAAGTTTTTAAAAGCAACATATAAAATACAGAAATAGAGACACTGATCCACTCAATACTATGAAATGGATGCTGTATAAAGACACGTACCAAATCTGTCTTTCATGTCTGAGTCTAGTAAGTATAGAGTTTATCAACAATAACATCTATTCAAACGCAGGCCCTCTATGCATTGCATACTAGTGTAAGATATGTGTGTGTATGCGTGTGCAGCTGCGTGTCCATGTGCGTGTTCATGAGTGTGTACCCAAGAACATGCAAAAGAGAAGGACATGAGACATTGAGGTCATACTAGCCCGAAGATTCCAGCAGGCCATGCTTGTGCAGCTGCAACAATTTCTCCAGTGTGCAAGGTCAACCCTATAGAATCGCATTGAACAAATTAGGCCCATTATTAGCATAAACTAAAGAAAAATCAAACAGATTGGAACCAGAGAAATGCAGAATTCTAACCTGAGATGATAAAAATCCCAAACGTGCTAAATTTTGACAAAGAATACGTATCAGCCAGACAACCTAGACTAGGATTTGCCATCCCTAAAGCTACTCCACCAACAAGAGCTGCATATAATATTGCACAGACATTTATCAATAAACAATACTAAACAACACAAGGAATGTGATTAATTATGATAACACTGTGAAAACACAAAACTTTCAACCAAACATAGAAGTCACCTAAGGGAAGAAAATTATTCGCCACGAAATTCGACAATGGTTTAGCCCAACTCAAGCCCTTCACTGAACCAGAATCTTTATGAGCTTTCTTTCCATCACCATCTATCTGAAAAAACATTCACATTCTTTAAACAAGATGATTAAACAGAACATATAATTTTGAGACTTATCATTTGGGTACCTAAATCCTAAACCAAATTATCAAAAATTTCCTTCAGAAATCCAATTACACTATAACCATGTCCAAACACCAAGACAAAGCAAAATTAGAATCATTATTGGTGAGTTACCAAACAGCGCACAAACAAGTAAACAGAACCTGATCGGACTGTTGGCAAGCTTTGACGGGTCTCGAAATGGAGCGGCTAAGTTGAAAATTGAAACGGAATGCGGCACGTTTGGACGGAAAATGTGGGATTCGGAGAGCAAACGGCAACGATTTGGCGGGTCGAGGTGTGAGAATTAGGGCATGGATGGTTCCCGCCATGGGAATTACTGCAAAAGTCAAAACGTGTGTCTCTCTTTTTTCTTTTCCTTTTCCTTTTTGTTATCAGAAAGAAAAACGGCTGAATTAAGAAAGAGGAATGCTACTCTTTAAATAGTCTATATTTTTAGGTAATAAAAATTAAATTAATATATACGTTGGGCTCATAGTATTTTTTTCTCATTCAACAAAATAGTTTTTAATTGGATTTTTTTTTATTGGGTAATGGGGGAGTTAGTTGTTTGGATGGAAGATGGTTAGTTGTCTTCTATTTTTTTTTTTTTTTTTTTTTTTTTTTTTTTTAAAATAAATTTCAATAGATAAACTTTAATAGCACAATTAAATACATCAACATGACATATAAAGTACCAAGAAAGGAACAAACTAACATGAGAAAAACAAAATTAGAGCGAACAAAAGCCGCATTAAAACTAGCCCACATCACTACAATTAACCATAAGTCCAAATAAAGCCCACAAACTCAATATGACCGAAACCCTAAACCAACCCATGAGCCTAAATGAACCCTCCCACCACCATTTGAAGAACTGCAATCGCGGCCACACCTACCACCACATTCGTAACAGATCTGGGAAAAATATGATTTCCAGCAATTTACCTGCAAATAATAGCCAACAAATAACGAAAACAAGAACCCTATCAAAGAACAATTGAGTGATTTGCAGCAACCTTCGTCAAAGACGATGTAGAACCAAAAGAGAACATAAGCAGTCTTAGAGAGTGAGTTTTGGGAGAAAGATTTAATTGAGAATATAGACTAAAATGAGTGATGAAGAACTTCAATCTGAGCATGACCCAGAAGAAATCACCACAAAGGGGGCTTCTTATTCAAAACGCCCCAGTGAATTATTCACTAATTCAAAAGGAAAAGATGAGAAGAGAAGAGGGAGAGGAGAGGCAGTGAAACTTCTTTCTCCTCCCCCCCTCTATAGAGTTTTTCCTTTGGGACTCACAAAGGGAGAAAGCAACTAGGGTTTTAGAGGGAGTAAGTCTTTGGTTGTCTTCTATTTGAATGATGATGAATACAATTTATGAGCTTCTTAACAAAAACAAAACAAAAAGGAAAGTAGTTTTTAATTGGAAATTTTTTTTCGGTCATGGGGCGGATCAAGGAACCCGTTCCCAAACAAAGGCAAGGATGAGGAATCCTTGATTTGATGAAGGCTGGGATTGGAGGAAAATGCTTAACGAGGATGGGATGTGAATGACATACACCCTCGATTGGACCCATTGTCATCCATATCTTCACGCTCTTGTAGAAGAAAGCTTACCTAAAAAAGAAAGAGAGCTCAAAATACACTTTATTTTTTATACGAGTGATACTTTAAATTATTTTAAATTAATCTAATTTATGGAAAATTTGAGTTAACTATCCCAAAAAGCAACAAGAGTTCCCATCCATCAATTTTTATTTTTTCTTAGAAATAACACCCATCAAATTATCAAAATAAAAATAAAAAATTTACCCAGTTAGAAAACTATCACAAAGCAAACCAAAATAAATTTACCATAAAGGGATTGCTATAGGGGCATTTTTCCTTTGTTTTGGTCAAAAGCATGTTTCATTTATTCCCTATAAGATTCATAATGTTAAATAAGGACATATTTTGTAGTTGTGGGACGATAATGCCCTTATTTATTTATTTATTTTTATATTGCCTTAGAAAACCTTTGCTTTTCATATGGTGACAGAGAAATTTTCCTTTCGCTTTTTGCATAGTGACATGGCTCCACTTTCTATTGTAAAGTACCATGTAGAAGATGATCTCTTCATGCACATGAAAAATTTCCCGAGGGCCTTTCCGACGACACACTTGTTTAAGATGACCTTTAAGACAAAACTTATATTCCTATCGTAAAAGGACAATTATGTCTGACCGTGATTAATTATAATCATAAATAAAACTATCTATTCCGACAAACAAGAAATATCCTTGGAAATACTTCAATCACTTTTGACGACGCAAGAAGGTTGTCGGAAACATAAACTTATTACTGAGAGAAGAACTAATACTCTCCGGTCATTGTAAATTTTATCATCAAGAAAGACTATATCCTTTCAGAAATACTCTGTCATTTTTGATATAATTACTCCTCGAAAATAAGCACTCCATCTATGACGACTATATCTTTTGTCATTAATATTGTTGGCGCCAACTTTTTTTTCCCGCCAAAAACCACACATTTTAGACAATCAACGAGACTTTTTTTCCGACAGCGTATCTGTATGTCGGAACTACAAAACATCGTGGTGACATTTTTCCGAGGGTTGTTATTTTGCGATCGGAAAAAATGTTTTTTCCAAGCGTATTTGTGGCCCTCGGAAAAGCTTTGTCGGTGTGAGGTGTAGTGTCACACCCAAGTATTTTCGGTCAGGGGGAGAGCCTTTGATTCAATAGTGGTCCCTGTGATATTTCAGCTTTCAATGGTTTAGTGTGCACTTAATTCGAACCGATGAGAGAGAGAGAGAGAGAGAGAGAGAGAGAGAGAGAGGTCAATTCAGGTGCAATAATGCATTACCAAAATGAATGGATGAATCCAATTTAGACAGAAGAATGACTTATTGTTTGAGTATCATTCAGATTTTCTCTACATCCAAACAGAAAAAGAAAACCACCAAAATTTATTCATTAAACTAACTGATAATGTGACAAAATCACTCCATTTAATCAGCTGGCGATTAAAAAGGTACATATAAAAATATATTGAAAGAATTAATACAAGAAAATAATTTCCAAAATTAATGTTTAATTCATGACCATATTATATGCAAATGGAACCTTTGCCGCTCTCTTTATTTTATTTTATTTTTTTTATACCGGCGATATTGGAGAAGGGTAACAAAAAGAATGAACCGAATTGCCTTACTTATTTTCAGTATAATTTGCCTGCTACCTCAGCTGAGAAAAGAATCTAGCAACTTCTCTGTAGGCTAACGAAATTGAAGAACATATGAAACCCACCACAATCAAGAAACAGATAAGCATGAAGTTGCAGATGGGTACATCCACCACCACTCCATGCATGCATGCAGCATGCTTTGTCTGAGTTCACTCGACGAGCACATGCTCTTTTTATAAGCCAGAGATCATGAAGCATTAGCCACCAGCATTACCTCTGCTTCCTTTTCATTTAATTCTATAGCAGGACTGGTTGTTGAGGCACTTAATTAATTCTGCGTCAATCCTTGATATTTCTTTGTATTATTTTTTTTTTTTTTTTTTTTTTTTTTTTTTTTTTTTAAATAAATAAAATATCTTGCTTTAATCTTCATTTTCTTTTTTTTCATACCGTTACTGGTTCTGGTCATAATCAGTAGTTCTAACAAGACCGTGGTCGTATAACGATCGAAAGTAACGCGGACAAAAGTCAAAAATAAAAAATGGTAAAACAAAATTAAAATTATCCCATCATCATGTGTTTTTAAGGCTCACCAATATCTGTCGTATTCAGTATTAAAAATGGGCCACCACATATACCCAAAAAAAAAGGGGAACATATTTGCAGCTAGTAATCGTCCCAATAATATACACTTTTGGCTTTGTTACTTTGGCAATCACAACAATCTCTTGTTTTCTCTCTCTAGTAGTTGTGACACAGTAACACTAGTACCTCCCTTCCTTTTTTTATTCTTCTTAAAAGTCTCCTTAGGGTTTTGGCCCCGTCATTGCTTCTCGCGCACGATATCTTGCCCTAGGGTTTTTGTACGCCTGTGTGGGTGGTTGACTGTTCTAAAACTATTTTGGTCTCTTGAAGTTCGTTTGGCGAGCGATGGAGTGCATTTTGTTGGGTTTCTAATGGAGGTGCGAAGGGACTTAACTAGTGGTCTTGCGATCTCGGTAGAGGAAGCAGTGGAGATTGTTAGTTTGGATAATTTGGGTGGACAAAAGGCAAAATAAAAAAAGGAAGCAACTTGACAACGACCAACAAGTGAACTACAAGGAACAAATGCATTTGAATGATTGGTTCAAATTGAATGAAAAGTATCGATACATAAGCGATGCCCTTCAATGAAAAATGGAAGCATCGCTATTTTATTTTTTATTTTTTAATTTCGTTTCTTCTTTTATCTTTATCAATAAAGCTTAGGTTCTCTAGTATCTAGGTTTTTTTTTTTTTTTTTTTTTTTTTTTTTTTTTTTTTTTTTTTTAATAATAGCAAATCGAACTTTTGATTATAATTAATTTCCAGTTGGGTTCTATGCATTTATTTCATAGATTTATAGGAAGCTAATATGTCACTAATTTAGAGCTGTGAAGAATAAATACGAACCAAGATGTTCACAGAAAATTTCTAACAAAGTTTGATTCTTTTTATTTATTTTATAAATCTAGGACTTTAAGTGCAAAGATAAATGCACTTGAGCTACAAGTCTCTTACAACAAAAGTTTGAACATGCTTTTATCTTTATTAAACAAAGTCATATGAACAAAATTGACAAAATTACATTTGCTAGGTCGGCTTCTAGGCTTGGCATAACTGAGTCTAGAAGACAAATTTTAATAAGTATTCTGATGCTAATGCAGTGTTATATACAAGTCGTACGACCAACATTTATAAATCATCAGAACCCTTGTTTTCTCTCTCTAGTAGTTGTGACATAGTTACCTAATAATAATTATATGGCCCAAAAGTCTGTTTCTTCCTAGGTTAGGATTTTTTCTTGAATTGATTCTATAGCATTTGTCACACCGTGAGTATGATGGAACTTACAAATACAAGCAATGGAGGGATGAACCCGTCGTCGATTACATCAATCGATGGCACTCATTAAGCCTATAGTGCAAGAATATGCTTTCAGAGATATCGATAGTTGAGATGTGCATTCAAGGGATGCATTGGGGGTTACTCTAGATTCCATAAGGGATTGAACCATGCATGTTTGAGTAGCTAGCCACTCGTGCCCATGATATGGAGTTAAATATCACTAGCCATAGGGAAAAGAATGAAGCTGTCATGGAGCATAAAAAAGAGAGTTTTTG